CATAATTTTGACCATTGTTTTAACAAAGTTTCCCAACTAGTCTCGAGTTGGTTTTTTGATATTTTGTTTATAACACGTTTCTGAACAATATTCCGCAGAGAAACTTCTAATAGTATTTTTTTTCCCGAAAAAAAGCTATAATGATTGGCCTATATTTTAAATACATTTCACATGTTAAATAAATCTTTATAATACTATAAATTGGCGCCTAACATTATTTATTTAACAAACAACACAGAACAAAACTAAATTCTAATAAATAAAACACAAAAATATAATTATTTATAGTATTATAATATATTTTAATATTCTGAAAATAACGCGGTAAATTGTTACAGTAGTTCCTATAACAGAACTTTGTTGGCTTATTTTTTTCTTGGAATTATGTCTCAACAAATACTGTACGGACTGTATTTTCTATTTATCTGTTTTTGGCCCGTATTGTATCTGTCGCCAACGGGGCACTCGCGGCAATTGCTTCCGAATAAATAAATAAATATCTACTGTGAGGCGGTTCTACTTACGATTGGGATTTTTCAGGAACCTGACGCTAAAACTGAAACTCGATCCCCTAGCAGGCATCCGATACTGTATCAGTGCCACGTTCTGTGAGCTGATAAAAGCCTGTTTGACTTTTCTCTGGCCGCAAAATTCGTTGAATCTGGCACTCAGGGGTTTGGGGTGATCGCGGGGGCTGGGGAAATATTCACCGTTCAACTCCCAACCGTCCATTACCTGAAAAATTTGTATGAAATGTATTCGATACAATTGTGATACAAGGCAATCCCAGTAGAAAAGAACTACCTTGAGTATCAATTAATATACAGGGTGTCTCGATATTCATGCAACAAAATTTGGTCACAGATACTTAAAGCAAATTTAGGGGACCCTTATTTTTTTTTGTCAAGTGGCCCCCTCTTTCGGAGTTACAGATCCCTGACGTCCACCCCTAAGAATAATCTTTTTTTTATATCTCAGAATCCTGTTGTACGAGAATCACTTTTGGTACACGGGGGTTTTATGACATGTGGAATCTGATGGTGCTACGTTTTTTGGCGAAGAACGCCCTAAGACAAGTTTTCGTGGGCCCCCTTGTCTTTGGAGTCAAAAAAATTTGGTCGCACATTTAAATTTCATAAAAAATTATCAGTCCACTAGAAAGACATTAAATTTAGAAAGTTTTTGTTTCTTTATATTTTTTTCGTAAAACGCAATGTTTTCGAGAAAAATGTCAAAATGTGATCGAATGCATATCGTGATTCGCCATTTTCCTCAAAAACATTGCGTTTTACGAAACAAATATCAAGAGACAAAAAAGTTTCTAAATTCAATGGCTTTCTATCTAACTAATAATTTTTAAAAAAATCAAATTTGCGACCAAATTTTTCTGGTTCCAAAGACAAGCGGGGCCAAGGGAGTCCACGAAAAAGTGTCTTAAGGGGGTTTCTCGCCAAAAAGCACTGTGAGATTCCACATGCCATAAAATCCCTGTGTACCAAATTTAGTGATTCTTGTACAACATGGTTTTGAGATATAAAAAAGACTTCTTAGGAGCAGATTTCAGGGGGCTGTAACTCCGAAAGAGGGGGCCAGTTGGCAAAAAGAAAAAATACGGGCCCCCTAAATTTGCCTTAAGAATCTATGACCAAACTTTGTTGCATGAATTTCGGGACACCCTGTATACCTGGAATTTAAAATGTTATTGTTTGTCGTTGAGAAGTCTCTGTAGACCTTTTCAGGAGCGTGATATCAAGTGGTACCTATAAGAGCATAGGTAACACTAAATTATGATATACCAACAAATTAAAGCATTTAATACTTGTTGTTTCATTTTTGCTCTTACATTTTGATAACTTCAAACAGCTATAATTTTGTTAACTTAAATAGAACACCCTGTATTTTTTTACTGTGTCGTGTGCAGATTGAAATCTTCTTTCAAGCCATATTAAGCATTGTTAGGGTTGCCGTTACCACTTTGACATATTTGCAATTTTCTATTTTATTGAACACTTTTTCTCGTATCTGACCTGTTATCAAATTGGCCATGATCAGAAACAATCCAAAAACAATAATTAAAGTAACTTGACATTTGTCGCATTATATGGGTTTATGTTAGTTTAGTATCAGTAAGGAATTGTGACTGAAAATGCAGCAAAGGAACCTACTATAGCTATTTCCGTATTTTCATCATAAACAATAGGCATTTGTTAATTCTGTATAAGTTTTACGTAGTGTAAGCTTTTAAAATTGTCCACTACTTACCTTCATGTATTTCGCTAAGGTCTTCGTATTTTTGGATATCGAGCAGCAAATTCTCTAGATGTTCTTGAAATTACTTTGTCACATTGTCCATAAATAACAAACAAATTAAAATAATCCTCATTAGTATAATTTAAATGATCCCCAGGCATTTTTATTTAAATTTTCGGCAAAAACTATTACAGACACAACAATAATTTGACAACTAACTTGACAAATGTGAAGTTATTTTAATTGTTTTTGGAATGTTTCTGGTCACAGCCAATTGATAACAGGTCTGATGTGAGAAAAACTGTATAAAAAATAGAAAATTGCAAATATCTCTAAAAGTAATAACGGCAACCCTAACAATGCTTATATGAAGGAAATTTCAATCTGCATACGACAGAGTAAAAAAATACGGGGTGTTTCATTTAAGTTAACAAAATTATAGCTGTTTGTAATTATTAAAAATGAAATACCTAGAATTAAATGTTTTATTTTGTTATTTCATTTTTTCATATTACCAGTAGGTATATATATTATTATCGGGTCCCGCATCTGATAGGATTTTTTAAACAACTTTTTGTTATTTATTTAAATTAGCTTTATATCTTTATAATAGAATAGAAAATTACCAAGGTTATGGAAGGATATGTTTCACGCAACGCCCTGTACAAGAAAAGGGAAACAACTAGCAGATGCCCTAGCTGTATCTAAAGGAGAGGGGAAAAGTGAATTTGTTGAGGGAAAACGAACGCTATTTATATAACTGGAACAATAAAGAGTCGAGGAAGATAGAATTCTTCTAGCGACAGACAATATCATCTCTTATTATCCACTTAACGAATCAATTTATCCACATTCATGAAGGTAAACAACTCCTTTCACTAAAAGATCATCGTGCCACTTTTCTTGGAGGTGCTTTGGTGGAATTTGTACTGGGATGTAAAAGGTTTTTAATTCAATTAGAGCTAGTGCCCCTAAATAGGTTTACTGGCCCAAAAGCTTTATCTTATTCGATGGTTGGAATTTACTAGTATTGGAAATCGGAAACGTAAACATTCCGGACTGATCGGAAGGGTTGAATCTAGCAGTGTTTCTGTTGTATAAATTAACATAGTTCTACTCTGTATCCCAGAAGTTTTATTGGGTTCAGTCAATGAACATGTGAATTATGTATGCGGGTAAATCAAAATCAAACTCGAAGCGTTTGCGCAAGTAATTAGTAGCGTAGATTTATTTAAAACTTTTATCTTCAAGATATTTGGTTAATATTAATCTTTGGGTAATAAAGATACCTACCTAAGGAATTTACTGATTATATCAAAAAGGTTACAGTGACAGAATTACAACGCATTTTTTTAATTGAAAGTTAAAAACTACGTAACAAATGTAGTGTAATCTGAATATAAATAGTCCATTTTCTAATAATAGTAGCTCAGATTAAGTGGTGATATAAGTATTTGAATTGAAATTACATCTTGGTACAGCGGCTGTGGCGTCTTCCAATTTTTTTTTACATTTTATTGATATCTTTTCCCGTTGAAAATATATAAAACGTATAAAGAAAAACACTGGATCAGTAACAGACTTGGTCGAGCCTGTATTTTTCTCTGTACTTATCATCTCTTGAAAAGGAAGAGATATCGAAAAACTTTTTTAATAAAAGCTATTGAGAAAGAATAGGACTTTCATATGAACATTCATGGCTGAAGTTTCGTGACCAAAAAAAAAGATAATGGTGATTTTAAAGTTCTTACCGCCACAAGACCTCCATTCTCGCATGGTACGTCCAGGTAATTGAATCTAATCTCAATGATTTGATCGGGTTCGCCAAAAATATACGCTCCACAGGCATTGCCATCTACTATAGTCGCCTTATGGTAAAAATCACCTTCCTCCGATGTCATGTGTATACAATCTGAAAGTAAAATTAAACACACATTATATTCTGAAATAAACACTGCATAGATTTTCTGTGCTCACTTTTACATGTTTATTGTCTCCAGAGTGTATTTATTTCTGAACTTAAGACAGTTAAAACAATACGAATTATACCTGTTTCTAATTAACTTTTTTGCAGTTTTCTTTCATTGATTTCCTCTAATATTTTCCTAAAACTGAAAATCTGCTGCAAGATTCCAGTAAAAGTCCGGTAATTGGATTTTATAAACAAAATCTCTTTCAAACTTCTATAGCGATCAGGTAAATATATTTTGTTACAAAATTACCTTTGACTTTGCTAAATATTTAATTTAACGTCAATTTTTAATGAAGTAAGTAGGTGGGCCCTAAGTTGATTAATAAAAACGGAAATTTAATTATTCCCCAAGTATCTGGTAGGTAACTGAAGAAGGAAAACTCCTGGACGAAAATCGATTGCGGGTTGTCGGGTCTGATACAATGTCAATTTCCTTCTTGAAAATTTGTTATTGAACGTGGCAAGGCCATAAGGTTAAAATATGAACTCAAAACTAATTTATTTAGCGGACAATGAAGACATCACAGTACAGGATAAGATCTAACATGAATATTTAATGTTAACTCATCAAATTCCTATTCAGACAGTCTGTCCATCAGTTTAACGTTTTTTGTGATCAATCAATAAAAGGTTTATGGTTTTTCCTCGAAGTGTACCAATGATGAATGTTTCGGGTTTAGTTGAACAATACATACAATATGTACCTAATACATATTTCGTAATTTTCCTTTAATAATTTTATTCGAAAAAGAAAGAATATATGAGATATAGATTTTAGATGTATGTACAAGTTCGGAGAGTGTGTAGCTGAGATTGTGCGCAATTACGTGCAATTTTCGGTAGAAAAACGCCCCGAATGAAACAACAGTGAATAGATTAGTTGCCAAAGAACAAACAGGTTCGGTTACAGACAATAAAAAATAACAGATCGGCTTCGTGTTGGCCGTTCAGCCAAAAATATTGGTACGGTGGGTGATAATGTGGCCAAAATTCCCTCAATGCGTCGTCAGTCACTGCAATTAAACATTTAAAAAAGCACAATGCTCAGATTTGAACAAATGATCTGCATCTTCAGAGGTGGATATCGGTGTTGTGGAAAAAGTATTCGCTAAAATCAAGTCAAATGATAAAGGGTGTGACGGAATTGACTTAAAAATGCTCACGTTGCTGCTTCCGCATCTGACTTGTTGTATAACTTTTTTTATTAATAAATGTTTAACCACTGGAGATTTCCCTGGAATGAAGCACTTGTCATTGCGGTGCCTAAAAATAATTGTCCCAACAATATTTCTAATTTTAGACCGATAAGTATTTTGCCTACGCTTTCCAAAATTCTTGAAAAGATAGTTCATGAACAACTTCTTAATTTTTTAAATAATAACAATATTTTACCGGCAACCCAATCTGGTTTTCGGGTTAATCATAGTATGTACAACTACTGCTCTATTAGATGTTACTGATGAACTGTATAGAGCCAGGAATCAACACAAAAATACTTTTTTGGTGCTTCTTGACTATAGTAAGGCATTTGATACATTAGTATCCTCTACATTGTGTTAAAAACTAAAATATTTTGGAGTTAGTGATCTAGTCGTTACGTTCTTCTCAAATTATCTTTCTGCAAGGCGCGAAAGAGTATCTTTAAGTGGAATATTGTCTGATTTGTCCGAAAAGCACAGAGGTGTGCCTCAAGGGAGCATTTTGGGACCGCTTTTGTTTTCAGTTTATACTGCTGACTTTTCAATGTTCTTGCAATATTCTAAGTCGCATCAATATGCTGATGATTACCAATTATNGTAGAGTATTAAAGAAAAGTAATCAAGCACAAAGTTATTGTGAGACATTTAAAAACAATAGAGAATGAAAAGAACAGTGAGAGTCAGGAAATAGGAAAGAAGAAGTTATTTGGCAGAAAGGGAATTAGGGTGAAGTCTAAACTGACAGATAACTCAATATAATCATAATACTGTCAAGTTAGTAAAACATCATTTTGAATTGTCGTAGCCATTTAGAAAAGGAACGGTGCAGTATGAGCCAAGGAGGTGATTCAGACAGTGGCAGTCAACGGAGTGGAGTAGAACACAGAAGAAGAACAAGACAAAATAGAGGAGAGTTCGAGTGAAAGAAAGGAAGGAGGAGATACAGGAGAGAGATTACAGAAAAGACATTACCAGTGAGGAAAACATAGACAAAAGGACAACAAAAGTGTAGTATAAGTAACAAGAAACTATAAGTTTATAGAATAAGTAATTAGCAATAATTTAGCTCAGGTTAGATAAGGAATTAGGAAGGATTTTATAAATTTATAACCTGTTATTATAATACACGAATTTCAAACTCAATTAAAACAATACTATTTTATTTTTTTTAACAAAAGCAAAGAAACAAAATTAATTACATATTAACATTTTCTTCATAATTAATTTCAAAAAGGTTTAGAACCAACCACTGAGATATCAACATGCTCTATAAAAATTGTATTATATAATTTGCAGAAAGTACACTAGTAGTCTAGTTGTCATTAAAATTATTAAATTTTTTAAATATAATTAAATTATAATTTGAGAAAAATTTAAAAAATATATATAATGAATAAATTTACATTTAAAGATTCAAAATCAAATTAAGTGACATATAAAAAGAGCTAGCTTGGTAAGTATAGAACATAATTTATTGCAATATTTTTTATAAGAATACTATAGGAAAATTCAAAATTTAAATATTTTAAATACATTTCACATGTTAAATAAATCTTTATAATACTATAAATTGGCGCCTAACATTATTTATTAAATAAACTACACAGAACAAACAAAACTAAATTATAATAAATAAAACACAAAAATATAATTATTTATAGTATTATAA